CTCACAATAATTTTCAAACTTTTCATTTTGAAACTCACCACCATGGTCACTTCTTAAAACTTTAATTCTTAGGTCTTTCTCATTTTAAATTTGCTTTGCAAACTTCCTAAAGACCTTAAAAGCCTCACTTTTCATTGTTAAGAAAAATGTCCAAGTGTATCTAAAAAAGTCATCAACAATCACAAGACCATAATAATTTCCACCAAAGTTTTTTATCCTAGAAGGACCAAATAAGTCTAAATGTAATAATTTTAAAGGTTTTGATGTGGAAATGACACTCTTTGATTTAAATGATGATTTCACTTGTTTACCTTTTTGACATGCATCACATAACCTATCTTTTTCAAACTTTAACTTAGGCAAACCAACAACTAAGTCTTTTGATATCAATTTATTTAAATGATGCATATTTATATGAGCTGCTCTCTTATGTCATAACCAAGGGTTCTTTCCTTAGCAACTAAGCATGTTATACTAGAATCTTGTAAACAATCCAAATCAATCAAGTATATGTTATTATGCCTAATGCCTTTTAAAGCTACATTTTCGGAATCTATCAAATGTATGGTGCAAAATTTACTTTCAAATATTACCTTAAATCCTTTGTCACATAGTTGACTTATACTAAGGAGATTATGCTTTAGCCCATCAACAAGAAGCACATCCTTAATTTCCAAAGTGTTTGCACCACCTATATTTCCAATTCCAAGAATCTTCCCTTTGTTGGTGTCCCCATAAGTTACATATCCTTGTTCTTTAGCTTTGAAACTCACAAATTTCGTTTTATCATCGGTCATATGCTTTGAGCATCCGCTATCAAGATACCACATAGACTTCTTTGATTTGGAAGTTTCCTACAAAACAAGAACATAGTAAAGTTAGGTCCCCATAACTTTTGGGTCCTTGGGGTTAGAGACAAACAAGTCATTTTACAATAGGAACCCAAATGCATTTTCCTTTAGGAACACCAAAATGTTTGATTTTACATCTATTTGAAGTATGACCATGTTTCATATAATAAAAACATGCTTTAGATGTAGCTTTTGAATATGATGCATTTCTAACTGTTGAAAGTCCCACATCGCCTACCTCATATCATTTGGTATGGTTTAAATACATGTTAGGCTACTCCACATATTGCCAATTTGTTTTATGTTGAAACCTTAACATGGTATCAGAGACAAAGCCTAGCATCTTTCCGATTATTGTCATGGGCCAAATTAGTTGGGTGAAAAGTACCCTTTGCCTGGTCCGGAAGGCTTTGTTGGAGGGGGTGTGTTGAAAGTCCCACATCGCCTACCTCATATCATTTGGTATGGTTTAAATACATGTTAGGCTACTCCACATATTGCCAATTGGTTTTATGTTGGAACCTTAACACTAACAATAGATGCTCTAGTTCCTTTTTCAACTCATACTCTTCTATTTTTCATTTTAGGCTTTTTCAAAGGAACTTGATGATTTACTCTATTTTGAGCTATAACAACTTTATCTTTATTAATGTTACTTATCTCCATTTCGGATTTATCTAGCAAATGATTAAGTATATCAATGTCATATTCATACTCTTTACAAGATGCACATGCCATATTCTTATCATCATTCTCATCTATGCATACAATTTTCGTTTCTAAGGTTTCCTTTTCCTCTAAACATGTAATTTTCGTTTTTAATGACTCAACCTCCTTTTCGGATCTACTTAAATTCTTTTTCACAGCTTTATATTCCTTTTTCAAGTCCTTAAAGGCACTAAACAATTCATTATATGCATTTTGCAGTTCATCAAAATTATTTTCATCATCACTTGAAGATGAGTCGGAATCACCTACCTCAAAGTCGGAAGATATGTTGTCATTTGCCATTAAGTAAATATTGGCTTCAACTTCCGAGTCACTTGATTCCGAACTTGAATCACTGTTGTCCCAAGCGATGTAGGCTTTCTTCTTGAAGAACTTTTTGCCTTTGTTTTCTTCATTTTTCTTGTTTGGACATTCAGTCTTCATATGTCCTGTTTCACCACAACCATAGCATTTTATATTTACGGAAGTATTTTCTCTTACCTTTCCTTTACCTTTGAATGGATGTCTTCCTTTGGCTTTCATGAATTTGGTAAACTTCTTAATCATGAGACTCAATTCTTCTTCTTCATTCTCCGAGTCTTCTTCTTCCTTTTTACTCTTACCTTTAGAGATTTCAGTTTTCAAGGATAAGTTCTTCTTTTGATATTGTCCTTCCTCATCATTTAGCCTTCCTAGCTCAAGCTCATGCTCTCTCAACTTTCCAAAGAGCGCCGCCATAGACATTGTGACAAGGTTTTGTGACTCTGAGATGGCCGTCACCTTAGGTTGTCATTTCCTATCCTAAGATTTCAAGATTTTAACATTTAATTTATCAACGTAAAAAATTTTACCTAATCCGGTGAGATGGTTCACAATATGAGTGAAACGCTTTTGAACGTCAAATATCATTTCGCCTTGTTGCATCCGGAACATCTCGTATTCTTGGATTAGGGAATTTTTTCGTGCTCTCTTAACGTCATCGGTACCTTCGTGGGTCACTCTTAGCATTTCCCACATCTCTTGAGCACTTTTACAAACAGAGATCCTGTAAAACTCGTCAAGGGTTAAAGCAGATGAAATAATATTTCTAGCCCTAACGTCAAATTGAGCTTTTCAATTTTCCTCTGTTGTACATCTAGAAAATGTTTTAGGAACATCTACTCCATTCTCAGTAACTTTAGGAATATAGGGACCATTTAAAATAGCGTCCCAAACGCCTCTATCAGTAGACTTAAAAAGATGTGCATTCTAACTTTCTAGAAAGGATAATTTTGACCCGCAAAAAGTGGGGGTCTGTTGATAGAAGCACCTTCGGCAAAAGTTTGATTTTGTCCGGCCATTTTCGAAAAATTTGAATGACTATCAAAGCAAGCTCTGATACCACTTGTTAGAATCGCGCAACAAAATGTTTGCGTGATCGGACAAAAACCAATAGGGGGGGTTTTATCACTAGACCTAAGTATAGGGTGTTGAGTGTGGGAAGCCTCCTACAACTGTATCTAGATCTGCACCTAGGGTCCTAGTTGCAGTCTCTTACTTAGTCTTCTATGTCTCATTGTATCATATTTCCATTATAAATGGAAGAAAGGGAGAAGGGTCCCATAAGCCCTGAAGATATATTTTTTCTCTGTTAATCTTAAGTAGTTTTATAAAATGATATGTATCCACAATCTGTTATTCGAAAGGTCAATAACTATTAGAATAGGAATTATTAAAAACTTGTTTTTGTACTATTCCTATCTGCACCAGAGGTGTTCTTGCTTGTTTTACACTCTTTTCTCTCATTGATTGTATCTCTACTTTTTCATTTATAAATAATAGAACCTAAGACAAACATTAAAGTGTGTGGATCCCGCCTTTCTCATGTTTATTTACAATTTTCTCAATTATCCTGGTTGTCTTAATCTTATTTTTCTCTTATTTCATTTGTTTCTTCTATTATAATTTATAAAAATGTGAAAGAAACACTTTATCATTATGAGTGACAACATTCCATAATTGTTGAAATGCAAGCGCTTGAACAATTTTTTTTTTTGGAAATTAGTTACTCTTCCATTTGGGAGGAACATAGTTGGATGTAGCTAGATTTATGCCATTAAAGTTGGATCCAATGATAAAGTCGATCCCCTCATAGCTAGATTGAGGGCAAAAGGCTATACTCAAATCTATGGTTTTCGTTACAATGATACTTCTTGTAGTGCATATGACTATTGTACACCTCTTCTTTGGTATGGTAGATATTTGTCATTGGCCCCTCCATGAATCAGATATTAAGAATGTCTTTTTTCATGAAGATCTAGAGGACGAAGTCTACATAGAACAATTTGTTTGTTGTTTAGGGAGAGTTTGGTTTGGCTTTGGCTTGTAAATTGCAATGCTTTCTCTTTGATCTCAAGCAATTTCTAGGAGCTTTGTTTGAAAAATTCAGTATCATTGTTCAAATCTTTAGTTTAAAATGTAGTGAGCAAATCATAGTTTTGTTGTGTATGTTGGTGGCATAATTATTGTAGGATCTGGCAAATCCTTTTTGGGCATTGAAGTGGCTCAATAACGGAAGGAGTTGTACTTTTTGAAAGAAAATATTCTCTAGATGTCCTGAAAGAGATAGGTTTGATTGATTGTAAACCAATGGATAATGCTAGGGCCCAAATGTTAAATTAATGGCTAAATAGTTTGAAACTTTGACGCATAAAGATATTGGAAGCATGTTGAAAAAATTATTTATCTTATTATTTTTTTTATATATTCCTCGATGTGTTGACTACTCATTTAACATGAGAAGTAGATGAATAATCATTTGCTTTTGGAAGAAATCAAAGAATTTTTTTGGAATCCAACAAGATCCACTACTACTACTAGGTCTATAAGAGTTTAAAAATTGTTGAAAATAGAACAAAAGAAACATCTTGCACTTTCTTGGTGATTGGGAAAGAAATAAATAATGAATTTTTTCAAGATAATTATGTACTTAAAATACTATTTATGTACTTTGAAGTTGGTGTTGTTAATTAGTTTATGCAGAATTCTTGTATTGATTATTGGAATGCTATCATTTCTATCCTTAATTACTTGGAGAAGGCTGCAGACAAGCCTCACTTTATGGATTGTTAAAATGTGATTTATATCTCTAATCTATGTTAAAATGTGATTTATATCTCTAATCTATATGATATCTCCAACAGTTCTTCGTTCCAAGAACTAGATATTTGGGGCATGAGCCTAAATATTTGTATGTGATTTGATGGCATGTGACACAATAAGCCCACAACACTTAGATATTCTCTAATTGCATCTTAGTATGTGAGTTTAGGTGTAACTGTATTATAAAAAACTAGCTTTTTATGGTGAGAATTATCCTTTACTTATATAGTATAATTTGATTATATCTCTGGTCTATTTGCAAGCTGAATTTGAATATAATGAAATGGGTTACATTAATCAATGTCCTCAACATCTACTTTAGTAAATAGTGTGCAGTTTATTATAGATAATTTCTTTAAATACTTTATTTCGTAATTTGTTCTTAATGCCCATTTTTGCATACTCTTTAATATACAGGAAGAGGTTGCAAAAGAATTTAATGTACCAGTTCAATTTCAGCGCTATTGGCTATGGGCAAAGCGACAAAACCATACCTATCGTCCTAATAGACCATTGACATCTATTGAGGAAGCACAATCTGTAAACTCTCATTTTTTGCTTGGAGATTTTGTTTTCTACTTCGTTCCTTTTTCTTAGCTGCTGCTGACTATTTCTCATGGTTATTTTTTTTGAATTATAGCTTGGTTTAATTTAATGGAAGCCTGTTCATTATGTTACTGTGCGGGCATGCTATATGTTTATTCCATTTTGTGGGCTGGCTGAATTGTTCATGGGTTGCTTTTGTTTTTCATTTTCCCCATCTTTTATTAATTGTTTTCTATTTCTTGAAACAGAACAAAAAAAAAATAAAAATCAATGTTTAAATAGTAATGTACATATCCTGTGGTTTGTATTCCATGTTTTCGGATTGCTCTGAAGTTTGTGATTGTTTTATGTTTCGGTGGTGTTGTTTATGTGAAATAAAAAAATCTATGAATTGAAGTTTTTCTCAATCTACTTCATTGTATTACAGGTTGGACAATTGAGAGAAGTATCAAACAAGGTTCACAATGCAGAATTAAAATTGTTTTTGGAAGTGGAGATGGGGATGGTAACATTTGTATTGAAATTGAATTTTAATGTAATATTATGAAATTTTAATGTTCAACTCACACTGTTCTGTTGAAAATCTGCATTCAATTTTAGGATTCTCGTCCGATTCCACCACCTGAGAAAACCGAAGGACGATATATTACTTTTTTTCAAGCTATATGATCCTGAAAAAGAGGAGCTCTGTATTTCAACGTTTTGATCTGACACCTAGGTTGACCTGAGATTTATTTTTTCATTATAATGGCAGTTACGTTGGAAGGCTCTTTGTGAAGTGTACTGGAAAGCCATTGGAAATCTTAACGAGGTTAAATGAAATGGCTGGTTATGACCCTGAAGAAGATATTGCACTTTATGAGGTTGGTTTGTATTGATTCCTTCAATTCCGATGGAAATGAAATGACTAAATTTCAGTTTAGTAATTGAGAAATCTTGGAACTTGTTACATTTGATTTACTAATTTAGCCATAAGTTTGATGTTTGTATTTTAGATTAAGTGTAACATAGTTATCAATTAGCACTTGGCATATAACTGTTGCTAACTAGCTAACCTTTGTGCTTTAGATGCAGCAATATATATCATTGTTTTAGCCACTAATTTTGTTGTTGATTGGTATTTGCATAGTGCTTCATAACATTTGAATATAATGAAAAACTAGTTATAAGATTAATTTCCTTATGTCTAAAATACATATATAGGGTAAGATATTTATAATTAAGATTCATATAAGTAAATATGATAAATATATATATTTTGACTAATAATATCTATAATATCTACAATATCTAACACTTCCCCTCAAGTTGATGCATATAAATCATATGTACCACACTTGTTACAAATATAATTGTTAAGGTTCCAATATACAATCAATTGACAATATGTGAAGTAGCCTAACATGTATTTAAATCATACCAAATGATATGAAGCAGGTGATATGAGATTTTCAACACACCCATTCAATGAAGCCTATCAGACCAGGCAAAAGGTAATTTTGGCCCACAACGAAAGGGCAACTATTGGCCCAACATAATAACTGCAAAAATGTTAGGCTTTAACTCTGATACCAACTTGAGAAACTTATTTAGGGTTTCCAATACAGTGTCAAAAGACACTGTTACATTGTATTTATAGATAAAAGAGATACAATAAAGAGGATATGAGCCTCAACCCAAACCCTTAACCCTAGTCTAAGAGAAGATAGAAAAACATCATATCTCAACAATAATCAATTCTAGGTCCCTGTAAAAACTTGGTGAAAATATCTACTAACTATTCACTTGAGTTAATAAACGTGGTTTTAATATCTCCATATACAATCTTTTCTCAAATAAAATGACAATAAACTTCAATGTGATTGGTTCTTTCATAAAAGACAGGATTAGAATTAATATGAAGAGCAACCTAATTGTCACATATAAGTATCGTTTGAGTGATATCTCCAAATTGCAATTCTTTAAGTAATTGTTTAAGCCAAACAAGTTCACAAGTGGCTGAGGCCATAACTCTATATTTTGTTTATGCACTAAATCTTGCTACAATACTTTGTTTCTTGCTCTTCCAAGGTATCAAGTTACCTCCAATAGAGACACATTATTCGGAAGTAGATCTTCTATCTAAAGGAGATCCTGCCTAGTCAGCATCTGAATAACAGACAACTTTAGCTTGGTTATTGTAATCATATAACAAACCTTTTCCAAGATATCCTTTAATGTACTTTAATATACAAATGACTGCACTCCATTGATCTGCACATGGGGAATTAAGAATTTGACTCATAACGCTAATTGCAAAGGAAATGTCTGGACGAGTAATCACTAGTGCAAAAAGGGGCTTTTACGTCAGGTATTTAGGGCTTTTTATGTCGTATTTAAGTCCAACGTTAAAGCGGGAGACGTAAATTTACGTCAGACTCTTTTGCCCGACGTAGATTTACGTCAGTTATCCAGATCCGACGTAGATTTACACTAAACAGATGTAAAAACCTTTTCAATTTAAAAAAAAAATAGAAAATTTACGTCGCATATGGTATACGCGACGTAAATTTACGTCGCATATACCAATACGCGACGTAAATTTACGTCGCATATACCAATACGCGATGTAAATTTACGTCACATATACCAATATGCGACGTAAATTTACGTCACATATGGTATATGGGACGTAAATTTACGTCGCATATTGGTATATGCGACGTAAATTTACGTCGTGTATACCATATGCGACGTAAATTTACGTCGCATATACCAATATGCGACGTAAATTTATTGTTTTTTTTAAATTGGGTTTATTTATTCTGTTTTACAACTAAAACACTGTAAATATTACAACCAGACAGTCCAGAGGTTCAGTTTTCTTTAGCTAGTAAATTAAAAATATAATATTATATAATTCAAACTACATAATAAAACAATATAATACAAACATACAAACTAAAAAATCTATTACAAACTAAGCTACCTATACAAACTAAGCTACCTATACAAACTAAGCTACCTATACAAACTAAGCTAAACTACATAATACACACAATATAATATGAACAAGAACTTAAAAAATAATGTACTAGAATTGTTGAACAAAAAATTTTGCCCATTGTTCTCTAATTTCTGTAATCTCAGATTCTGGTAATGGAGATGGATCTTGAAATACCTGAAACATGAATTTGACTCTTGTAAGCATGCAACATGAATAAAGTTAAATAAACTTAACTAATGTTAAAAATAATTACCTCCGTCCAAGAATCAATTAAACCCGCACAAACTATGGCTCTCATCCAATACATTACATAGTAACCACATTCAAACGAGTCAGTTTGCTTATTACACTGAAATGATGAAAAAAACATAATATTATTTTCAAAATTGAAATACAAACAATAATTATGGTATCCACTTATATAAATAAGTTTCTAACCTTAGGATAAATGATTTGCAAAGTCTTTGTTCTAGGTTTTCCACTTAGAACATTAGTTCCGAGACACGATTCTAAGTGAAAAAAAGTCATATATTATTCAATATGTATTCACAATTTAAAAACATAATTAATGAATAAAAGATAAAGTTACCCTTGTAATAAGCTTTTCATTTCTTGACTCGGTTTCCGATGTAATGAACAAAACCACACCACAGTGTAATCCCTGGGCATGATTACAATTAACTGCCAATGGGACCTACATTGTATGACATAAAAATTAGTTACAAAAATATAAATTAAAATACAAATTAAAATACTAACCCTTCAATGTATGGAGCCAAATATACATGTCTTCTTGAGTCACTCATCCATGTTTGCATATATTGTTGGATTCCAACCTTTGTATTTCCAGATTTTTGGATGGATTGAGGCTCAATAAATCCGTATACTTCGGATTTTTCTTGTTCCACACTCAAATTGTCAAGGTACCTAAAACAATTAATTATAAGTTGAATATAATTATTATAATCTTAGAAACATAAATGAAAATGACTTACATTGCCCACAATTGTATGATGGAAATGTTTAACATGCAATTTCCCCCAACAATTTCTAAAGCATCGGGCAAGGAAATGTACAATGGAACACTTGGAATTGTCAATTCCAAACACTCTAACATCCCATTGTATCTGACACGGTCTCTTCCTCAACCGTGGTAATACGGCTAACAACATAGAGATGGGATCATCATCACATTCCGTCAGATCCTCATCAATAATAGGTTGTTTTTTATGCTTAGCACGACGCAAGTCCTCCTAAACAAATGATAACAATTAATTAAACATTTATATAATTATAATACTAGAAAAGAGTAAATAGACAATATGTATATATATATATATATATATATTACCTTGGTCTGTGCTGATAGTGGCATAACCAAACGTCTTGGCCAAGCCAAGAATGTCCCGCTTGCCTGCCCCACTAATTGAATCTCTTCATTAGGAAAAGGCACTGGAGCATTAGCATCATGAACTTCATCAACTACTACTCGTGTCCAGTCTGGCTGTAGAGGGACACCATGGATGGTTAACCCACCCTCAAAAACTCGACCAACAGCCACTAGACGCGGGGGGTCATCTTCAACATATAACTCACACTTGGTGTGATGCATCGATCTCGAGTATATTCTCCTGAAGGATCAACAGGAGTAGCAAGCACAACTCCCTTTAGTGCTGACTTCGAACAATATCATGTTCAATTGTTTGAGGTGTTCCTTGAGTCTGTTGCTGAGAGCGGGCGAGAGATTCAATTTTCTCATCAAACTCTTGCTGCAAGGACTGCCTTATTTGATTTAACTTTTCTTCAAACTGCATCTCCATTTTATGCAAGGCCTCCTGGTTGCAAGAGTCAGCAGTGGTCCTTCGTGATGTTGGACCAAAGTAATCACGAAGGCCCCAGGTTCCACCAGCACCACACACACGTCTTGAGTAATCTGGTTTTCCTATGGCTGTCGCCAATATATCTTGTCGACCATGAGGAATAAATGATCCTTGGCTGGTCTGCTCAACTAAATCATCCTACAACACATTAACAATAATTAAGTCATACACTAACTTTCAAATTAGAATCAATTCAAATTGACATTATAACTTACGATTTTCTGAGCAATGATTCGTGCAGAATTAGAAGTCATTTGTCCATCAGATTTTGTCCGGGCTGCCTTCCACATCTGATAGCGAGGGGGTGGAGATGCAAGGTCAGTAGAATCAACTCCTGCTGACTCTTCTCTGGATTTCATGAGACGTTGCTCCAATAATGCATACCCTCCTCGTGACAATACATGGGGTGCATCATTCAACCTCTGACGTTGTTGGGCAGCTTGTCTTTTATCCTGCCAAGAGGGGTCCATTCGGCTGGCACAAAACTGTAACCAATCCTCCTCACTAATTTGATACTTTATACAGGGAGATTCATCTCGAAACTTTCCAAATACATACTCCCGTGTCAAGAAAGTCTTAAAGTCCCTCCATCTAATGGCAATGGAGGATAAAATCTTCTTCCTCATCACCTCAGTGTTAGGAACATCAAAATTTTGCTGTGAAATGACCAATAAATGTTAAATTCAATTAATAATGATATATAAAGTATTCAACAAATATAGAAATACCTGAACATCCTGCCACATGAGGTTCTTCTCGGTTTCCTCAACATCATCCCAAGATGGAGTAGTAATCGGAACATGGTGTCGAGCTAGTAGTCCCAAATAGCTCTTAAACTTAGCAGCATTTGGGCCAGATGCCTTACCAGAACGTGGATCAACTTCAACTTGAGTTTTCTCTCTAGCTACCCTCCTTGCTGTCAACCCCTTTAACCGAGTGACAGATCTACCTTTATCACCACTTCCGCTCCTCGCCACCTGCCACTACCACTACCAGGTACCAGCTGTGGAAT